CCCTCCCAAATTGTTTTAAAATTTTTTTTTTTTTTTTTTTTTTTTTTTTTTTTAAATAAAAGCCGAACTGTGGGGGAACACACCTTTAATCCCAGCACTCAGGAGGCAGAGGTAAGTGGATCTCTGTGAGTTTGAGGCCAGCCTGGTCTACAGAGTGAGTTCCAGGACAGGCTCGAAAGCTACAGAGAAACCCTGTCTTGAAAAAACAAAACAAAACAAAACAACAACAACAAAAAACCCAACCTGGTGTTGGAGAGATGGCTTAGAGTTTAAGAGCACTGACTGCTCTTCCAGAGGCCTTGAGATCAATTCCCAGCACCCACATGGAGGCTCACAACCATCCCTTATGAGATCTGGTGCCCTCTTCTGGCCTGCAAGCAGAATACTGTATATTAAATAAATAAATCTTTTTTTTTTTCATGGAAAAAAATGTTTATTTTGAAATTATTTTAATTTAGAATAGAAAACTCTTAGGGAGGAGGAAAGGAAAAAAAACCACAAAGTATGCAGGCAACTTTTTACTTCATGAGCTTCTCACACCCTCATTTGTTCACTAGTTCCCACAAAGATAAAGAACTCAGCCACCCACAATAATGTTATTAATAGGGATATGGATGAGTTTCACAAAGAAGCCAATGAATCCCATGATAGCAAATCCTATGGCTGTGGTCATGGCAATCTTCTGGAATTCTTTTCTATCGGGTTTGGTGCATCTTTTTACCAGCCGAATTGAGTCCTTGACAAACTGCCGACTGGGCTCAACAAACTGCATTACCTGGTCCATGGTTGACAGTTGCGGGATGTCCGCTTGAGAAGCTTGAGACACATAGCTTAGAAGAGGAGCGAGCCCAACGGAACCGGAAGCTGATTCTCAAATAAATAAATCTTAAAAAAAAAAAAGAAGAAGAAGAAAGAAACCCAAAATATAAAGTAACAGCCATTTCATTGTTCCATCACCCGCAAGTAAACAAAATGAGAACCCAGGTCTGAAGCTGCCTTAAAGTGTCTACTAACCAGCTGGGTGTGGTGGGGCATGCCTTTAATCCCAGCACTAGGGAGGCAGAGGCAGGTGGATCTCGTGAGTTCGAGACCACCTGGTCTACAAGAGCTAGTTCCAGGACAGCCTCCAAAGCCACAGAGAAACCCTGTATCAAACAACCCCAATACATAACTAAATAAACCCAACAGAATGGGACCTGAGTTTTAGCAAATGTCCAGTTGATCTTTTTTTACAAAAGAATTGGAAAAGCACAAGTCCATTCCAATCAATAAAAAGGTGGTTTTATTTTGTTTTTTTGTTTTGTTTTATTTTTTTGAGACAGTGTCTTATGGATCCCAGACTGGCCTTGAACTCACTATTTTAGGATAGTGAGGATGACCTTGAACTCTTGGTTGTCCTGCTTAAGGTACTGGGATTATACATGTGTTATGGAATACTAGTTTAAGATGTGTTACATTCGTTTATGCTGTGGAATATTTGTTTAATGTTACAAAGATGTGTTCCATTCTTTTTTTTAAAAAAAAGATTTATTTATTTATTATGTATACAACATTCTGCTTCCATGTATATCTGCACACCAGAAGAGGGCACCAGATCTCATAACGGGTGGTTGTGAGCCACCATGTGGTTGCTGGGAATTGAACTCAGGACCTCTGGAAGAGCAGCCAGTGCTCATAACCTCTGTGCCATCTCTCCAGCCCTGTGTTGCATTCTTTTATGCTTAACTCTGTAAACTGTGTTACTTTGCCTGCCTAAAACACCGCATTGGTCTAATAAAGAGCGGAACAATCGACAGCTAGGCAGGAGAGGGAAAGACAGGGCTGCCAGGCAGACAGAATGAATCTAGGCTGGGGAGAGGAGGAAGAGGACCAAGGAGCAAGAAAAGGAGGAGAGGAGAATGCCAGGGGCTAGGCATGTAGTAAAAAGGAAAGAAATATATAGAGAATAAAGAAACTTTAAAAGCCCAGAGGCAAAACAAAGTTAAAGAGAATCAAGACAATTTAAGTTTAAAAAGCTGGCTAGAAACAAGACAAGTTAAGGCTTGGTCATTCATAAGTAAGAATATATCTCTGTGTATTTATTTGGGAGTTGGTTGGTGGGCACCCAAAGATTAAACAAACAAACAACAACAAAACAACCAACTACAATCCTGCAAATCCCCTTTATAAAAAATGGAAATGGAAAAAAACAAACAAACAACCAAAACCAAAAAATCCAGGAAGTCCTCATTGGTTCCTTCTTTTGCTCATGTTCTACATCTTGTTTGCTTTGGTTTTTTCAAGACAGGGTTTTTCTGTGTAGCTCTGGCAGTCCTGAAATTAACTTTGTAGACACGGCTCACCTTGAACTCGGAAAATTGTCTTCCTCTGCCTCCCCGGTTTTGGGAATAAAGTCATGTATCATCATTTCCTGGCCCGTGTTCTACATCTTAACTATCACAAAGACATGGGCTTGGTGTAAATACATATTCTGAAACTACTTGTATCCAGCTCTTCTGTCAGTACTGTTTACAAACCATTTTTGTCCCTTGGATTACTACCTTATTTCAACTAACTTTCCTTATTCTGCCACTGGCAAAGGGCGATGAGACTCAGAATCGGTTGAGCAGTCTGGGCCGTTCTCCTCTAAGACCTCTGCTTAGATTTGGCCAGGATGTTGATTTACATACACCACAGAAAAAGTTTTCAAGACGAAACCTTGTTTGTAAAGGAAAATTAGAGTAGCTGGCTGCTTCTGCTGCTGGTAGTGGCGACAGTGTTGCTCACCTTTAATCCCAGCATTCAGGAGGCAGAGGCAGGTGGATTTCTGAGTTCAAGGTCAACCTGGTCTACAGAGTGAGTTCCAGCACAACCAGGGCTGTTACACAGAGAAACGCTGTCCTGAAAACAAAACAAAACAAAACAAAAAAAACAAAAAACAAAAAAAAAAAAGAAAGAAAGGAAAAGAAAAAGAAAAATTAAGAGTATTTTGTTGTACTGGTGTCTGAACCTAGAGACTTGGTCAGGCTACACAAGTGCTCTACTACTAAGTTTCCGTCCCTATCTGTCTTTGTCCTTTATATTTTGAAATAGTGTCTCAACAGAATTGACTGGATTGGCTTAAAGTCACTTGGTAGCACTGGCATGCCTTGAACTTGTGACCCTTTTGTTTCAGCCTACCAATAGCTGGGATGAAAGGACTGTGCTTGTTTTGTTGCTGCTGTTGTGTGGGTTTTTTTTGGTTTTCGAGACAGGGTTTCTGTGTGGCTTTGGAGCCTATCCTAGCACTTGCTCTGGAGACCAGGCTGGCCTCGAACTCACAGAGATCTGCTTGCCTCTGCCTCCCAAGTGCTGGGATTAAAGGCATATGCCACCAACACCCGGTGAAGGCATGCTTTCTTGTGCTCAGCTCACTTTCTCCATTTTATATAGTCCAGGATGCCCTGTCCCTAGCACCACATTAGCAGGATGTGTGGCAGACACCTGCAATCCCTGCATTTGGGAAGATGTGAGATTGAGGTTCAAGGTCATTTTGGCTATCTAGTAACTTTGAGGCCAACCAGGGCTATAAGAGAAACTGTCTCAAACAACAAACAATAACAAAACTTAAACTTAAACCAAGGACTTAAGCTGGACATGGTGTCTCATGCTTATAATCCCAGAATTTGGGGAGCTAAGGTAGTACTTCTGTAAGTTGTGGGCTATCCTGGGCTACATAGTGCATTAAATACTATATAGAGCAACTGCCTCCAAACAACAAGGAAAACAAAAACCCAAACCAAACCAAAGCAAAACATAAACAAATCCAGAAAACTGTCATTCTTGTTACCCACAAAAATTCTGCCCTCAACAGTTTTCCCTGTGCTCATTTATGATTTCTTGAAACTTTGTTATATGTGTACAATTGCCATCACAGTCAACATACAGAAATAGGCTAGCTACAAAATAAATTTGAGGTCAGTCTGAGCTACAAGAGGCTCTATTTCCAAACAAACCACAAATAAACAAAACCAGCAATTAACTATCTAACTAACCAACCGAACAAAGCTAAACCAAAGCTTGCTGGACTAGGCTAGGCATGGTGACAAGATTCCTTATGGTTATAGAGCACCTACTGTTATTGCAGAGAACCAGAGTTCGATCCCCAGCACCCACATCAGATTACTCACAACTGTTTGTAACTCTTGCTCCTGGGGATCTGACACCTCTCTATCTTTGTTTGGGTCTCTATTGCTGTGAAGGGACACCATGACCACTTTAACTCTTAAAAAGGAAAAGATTTAATTAAGGTGGTGTCTTATAGTTCAGAGATTCAGTCCATTATCTTCAAGGCAGGGAACATGGTAGTGTACAGGCAGACTTGGTGCTGGCTACACCTTGATCTGAAGGCAACAGGAAGTTGACAGGTAGTGGGGGGTATCCTGAGCATAGGAAACCTCAAAGCCCACCTCCATAGTGACACCCTTTCTCTAATCACTCCAACAAAGCCATATCTCCTAATAGTGCTATGAGCTTATGGGGGGGGTTGACCACCTCAAACATAGACATACACATGAACACATAAACAATCACAAATAATACCAGATGAGACGCCTTTAATCCTAGTACACAGGGGACATAGACAGGTGGATCTCTAAGAGTTAGAGATCAGCTGGGTCTACATAGTGAGACCTTGCCTCGAAAAAACAAAACAAAACAATAATAATTAAAAAAAAATCCTCTTACATCTCTGTGAGTTTGAGGCCAGCCTGGTCTACAGAGCAAGTTCCAGGACAACCTCCAAAGCAAATACAGAGAGACCCTGTCTCGAAAAAGAAAACAAAAGACGTATAGGAGGAGAAAGCTTTGTGGGGCGTTGGTGGTTTAATCCCAGCACTCGGGAGGTAGAGGCAGGAGGATCTCTGTGAGTTCGAGGCCAGCCTGGTCTACAGAGTGAGTGCCAGGATAGCCTCCAAAGCTACAGAGAAACTCTGTCTCAGGAAACCAAAAAATCCTCTTACAACAATAAAAAAATTCTTCTACTGAGTTTCCTACCATCCAAGGCTACTATAATTCTCCGCTCTCTAATAATAGGCTTGCTCCTTTATCACTAAACTTCATGTAGGTCTATTTGATTTTCACTTCTGCAGCGATTTCTCAACCTTATTTTTCTTCCCTGCTCTGATCTTTCTTCACAGCACTTACATAACTCCGTGCGTTCACTATCAATTTCTTTTCATTGTTTGTCCCAATTTTCAACCCTCCCAGAAACCTCAAGTGAGTTTACTGCTTTATCCCTGGGTTCTAGAACAGTGCCTGCTGGGCACATAGTATTTAGTACATTTGCTGCTTGACAGGGCGAAGAGAAGCGGAGTGACTGGGGCTTTAGTTCTATTCCGTGCAGTGTGAGCGCCACCTCCCGGGCAACCAAATCGTCTCGGGAACGGAGGAAGTGAGTTACACGACAGTAGGGGCAGGAACAAAAGATGGCCGCCAGCCGGAAAAGCCGGGGAGGGGGCGGGGGGATACACACGACAAAAACAAAAACCACACCCAGTGCCGGAAGTTAAACCCTGGAAAGAGTGCCCTCCTACTCACCGGAGGAAGCGGGGACTGGCGGTGTTCCACCAAAAGGGCTCTCCTGAATCAGAACTGTTCCGAAAGGTTCCGTGCGAGCCGCTGCTCGAAACCACGTGAGGCCAGGACGTGTTTCCGGTGCAGCCGGAGAGAGAGACTGGCTTCTGAAGGGGTGAGAGGGGTTCGGGTGCTGAGGGAAAGGGAACGTTGAGGGCCTAGGTAAGCGGAGAGGGAGGTGGGTGTGAAATGAAGGGAAAGGGGTGCATTCTCTGAGAGGCGTTGAGGAAGATCGCGGCCTCGACTGTGGACAGGTGCAGACCTGTCAGCCTGACACGTGGGCTCGCCTTTGTCTGTGGCCGCAGTTCCTGTCAGACTGCGCCGGCACGGCTGTGCCTTACCCTCCTTCCAGCCCTGTGCTGAGCGCAGAGCTTGCTGAATAAATGACACGTGTGTGTGTGCGTGTGTGTGTCTGTGTGTCTGTGTGTGTGTGTCTGTGTCTGTGTGTCTGTGTTCGGTGTGCAGAGCCTTTCATAGGGGCTGTTTCTGAGGGATCTATTCTTGTTCCACATTCCTTCAGAGATTCTCCAGCTTGTCTGCGGGTTCTGTCTGTCTTCGGAAGGCATGATTGGCCTTTTAAAGCATCTTCTTTGCTCCTATTGACTGCCAGGCCCTGTGGCTTGGAATCAAAGCAGGGGCTGGAGTAGATCAACTCTTTTATGCAGGTCACAGATCCGAGAGGCGGGAGAGGGGAGGAAGGCACCAACAGAAATGATCATTAAAAGATTATGTATTATTGTATGTTCCTGTGCATGCATGCCTTAGCACACTTGTGAACACACCAGAAGACAACTTCGTGGAATGGGCCCGAGGGACCAAACTCAGGTTTGTGGTACAAAAACCTTTGCTCACTGAACCATCTAGCTGGGTCAGGCCCCATTCTTTATTTTATTTTATTTATTTTTACTTTTGGCTTTTAGAGACAGGGTTTCTCTGTGGCTTTGGAGGCTGTCCTGGAACTAGCTCTTGTAGACCAGGCTGGTCTCTAACTCACAGATCTGCCTGCCTCTGCCTCCCGAAACCTGGGATTAAAGGCATTCGCCACCACCGCCCGTCGCAGGCCCCATTCTTAATGTATAAAATCAGAGGTTAATTCATGTTTAGGCAGCCAGGTCCAGGAGCTGGTGTTTCTATCCTCTTAGGTATTGTCTTTCAAGGTGGAGTCTTCTTTCATTTTGTGGGATTGTGTTCCCTGGAAATGGAAGGTTCTGGAATGGATGCTCTCCAGGTGTCTTCCCTCAGTGATGATGAATTGTGCTGTGGGTCTCCCATAAGCCACTGTTCATTGACTACTCATTGCACTTTCCCCCAGTACACAGTTTAATAAATGTTAATTGCTATTCTTACTAATGGACCTTCAATTTTCTTGTCCTTTTATTCTCTGACAGTTTTATACATGTATGTAATAGTTAGTCATCCCCCTCCTCCATTACAATCTTTGGCTCTCCTGTTCCTGTTGAACTCCTTTCCTGTGAGTCCCCTCCTACCTTCATGTCTTTGTGTGTGTGTGTGTGTGTGTGTGTTGGGGGGGAGACTGAGTTTAATTAGAATTGCGTGCTTCATTGATGGAGGAGTTAATTGCTGGAGCAGCTTACCCATGGCTGTATCCCTGAAGAAAATGATACCCACTCACCCACAGCCGTTAATCACCGTTAGCTTCCTAGGCAGGGGTAAGGCCTTGGGCCTATGAGTCCCTCCCCTTCTGTGATGGAGCATAGTCATTGCATCTTTTCTCTCTTTTCTCTTGTTTCTTGAAACAGAGTCTTATGTAGCTCAGTTCAGGTTGGGATCATTGACATGGGCTACCACACCTCCCCACTACGCTCAGCTCTATTTTCTTTTCATTCCCCTTTTTTCTTTTTTGAGTCAGGGTTTTAGGTTGCCCAGGCCAGCCTGGAATCCTCTGCCCTTTGGCCTTAGCCTTCCTAGTGGTAGGATTATTGGCACACATCCTCAGTCATTACATCTTAGGGAGTATCCCAAACTGTATAGGGCTGGGAAATCTTATTCTTTGTAGAATGAAGATTGTTGGTTTTTTTTTTTTATTTTTTATTTATTATGTATACAACATTCTGCTTCCATGTATATCTGCACACCAGAAGAGGAAACCAGATCTCATAACGGGTGGTTGTGAGCCACCATGTGGTTGCTGGGAATTGAACTCAGGACCTCTGGAAGAACAGTCAGTGCTCTTAACCTCTGAGCCATCTCTCCAGCCCCCAAAGGTGGTTGTTATGACATAGTCTCTAAAACTCTTGTGGGTTCTAATGCTGTTGGTCATACTGTGTTGAATCAGATGTAACTTTCAGTAGGAAAACCATATCATTGCATTTTCCCCTTACTGGTATTACCACAAGAAAAAAAAAATTGGTATCTTTTTAGTGTGTCTTAGTTTTATGTCTCCCTTTTTAGTTCTATCACAGTATTAAGTACATAACAGAAGCTCAATAGGAGTGTATGAAATCAAGTAGATTAGAAATTACATTTCTTCTTTTGAACCCTTTTCTACTTTCAGATCAAAATTCATTGATGAGTGAACTGGGCAGGGATTGGGATTTTACTAGAGAGACTTAAAGTAGACATAATATATTAAATCCAGTTTTATGAGAGAGTAATCCGCTTGAGAAGGATCATGATGAGGGAGGGTAGAGATTCTGTCCTGTTTCATTCCCTGCTTATCTCTCCAGGACCATGGCCAACAGTGAGCGCACCTTCATTGCTATCAAGCCTGATGGGGTCCAGCGGGGTCTGGTGGGCGAGATCATCAAGCGTTTTGAACAGAAGGGATTCCGACTTGTTGGCCTGAAATTTATGCAGGTGAGTGGACCTCACATTTCCTGTTTTGGTATTTGGAATATAGTAGAATATTGCAGAGTAACTTCTGTGTTTGCTTTGTTTCCTGTCTAGACTTCCCCATGGTAGGGTGTCTTCTCAGTGACCAAGCATGTTGGCTGAATCTTGGAACAAACCAAGTCATTTGGGGCTTTCAAAACTAGTCTGTCTTTACCCCTAACATTGTAGAATTCCACGTATTACTGCAGATCTGTAATTTCTGACTCAGCTCTGTGAGTGTTTTGGAGCTCTTGGTCTCTAGCCTCCTGAACAGATAATTTTAGAGACTATCCTTCCACCCCCACGGCCTTCAAGATAGGCTGTCAGGAAGAAAATCTTTGCTTTACTAATTACTACCTGATAGTGCCTAGCATGAGTCAGGCATGATACGTGGGGCTTTGTAGGGAAAGCTGCAATTTTGCTTGTGGGGGCTCCTCACAGAACAGAGAAAGGAAACAATTCTAATACTCTTGGTGATCTTCCTTTCTCAGTATTCTGAGTCCTGGGGTTCTGTGCATAAGTCATCATCCACTCAGATAACAATATTCCAATAAATACCAAGAATTCATTGGCCAAGAACTCTTCTTCAAGCAGATCTATGAGATGTGAATTCTAGTTCTCAAAGCAAATACATTAGGGGGCACCATATTTTTTTCCCATTCTAGCAATACACTTTTGGTTCATAGTGTATTTTGAGTTCAATTTAATTTTCAATGTTGAGTTTTTATTTCATTATTATTTTGCTGCTGTTTTTGAGTTAGCTGAATAGCCCTGGCTAGCCTGGAACCTTCTTTGTAGACCAGGCTAGCCACTAACTCACAGAGTGCTGCCTCTGCCTCCAGAGTGTTGGGATTAAAGGTGTGTACTACTGTGCTCAGATGCACTCTTGTTTTTTTTTTTTTAATTTGTATTTATGAGTATGTACGTGTGCCTGTTTGTGTGTAATGCGCACCATATATGTACAGGTGCATGTGGAGGCCAGGAGATGGTATCAGAACCCCTGGAACTGGAGTTATAAATTGTTGTGAGCCACCTGATATGGGTGTGAGAACCAAACTCAGGGCCTCTGCAAGAGCAGCAAGTGCTTTTAACCACTGAGCCATCTCTCCAGCCACTGTTTGTTTGTTTGTTTATTTTAAAGACAGGGTTTCTCTATGTAGTCCTGGCTGGCAGTCCTGGCACTTACTCTGTAGACCAGGCTGGATTCAGCCTCACAGAGATCTGCCTGTCTCTGCCTCCCAAATGCTGGGATCAAAGGTGTCAACCACCACTGCCCGGCAATTTTGTTCTTATGTAATTTTTTAGTATAAGGAGTAGACTATTGTTAATGCTAAGGGGGAGTATGATAGAATTATGAGAGCGGATGTGGGTTCAGGTTCTGAAGACACAATGAAATGAACCAGTCATTTGTTAAGCACCATAGTATATGCTAAGTATACAAGTTTTCTTCTCCATCTGTCATGACAGCTCTGAGAGGTACTTATTTCTGCCCTCATAGTTGCTAGGAGTAAACTGAGGCTTAAAGTCAGATAATGTGCCTGGTAATGCATACAGTGAAGTGGCTGACATGTAACTTGAGTCTCTCTGGCCTCTAGGTACATTTTTCTCTCTTAACCCTGACATTTCTGTTGAGGATTTCGGTTTGGTGAAGAATGGAAGAAGAGATACTTGACATGACTCTAAAGGGATATTCCATCTGCTATGGACTTGAGAAACAAAGGAAAACCTAGTTTCCCTACCCCACAATAAAAAGCATATGGTCAGTTTTCCAGGCTAAAGATTATTGGAACCAATGCATTGAGTATCATGGGGGAAAAAAAGCCAAGTCTGCATGTGGTAGCTGGTACTTCTACCAGCTCTCCATTAGAATAGGCAAGCTCAGACTGCATCCCTGCTTTGTAAGTTTTGCTTTGTCAAGTGATGACCAACCAGTGGGCTGAAGGATAGGGTATTTTGAATGTACCTTTTGGCAGATAATCCTGGCCTACATGTACCCCCTGATGTGGCAATATGCTTTGTATGATGTAGTTGTTCGGAAGTGTAAGAACCAAGGGCCCTGCTATGCCCTTGCAAGGCTGTGTAGATGCAAAGAGTGTGACCAGCCAGGGCACATGAAGATAGTTTGCTCTGTAGCTAATTTGATTTGTTCCCACACACCAGCCTTGCAAGTGAGTGTTCTAATTCTCTTCTTTCTCTTTGCTTTTCTCCTCTCTTTTGTTCCTACTCATCCTTCTATCCAACCCTCTTTGCTGAGATAGGGTCTTATGTTTCCAAGGCTGGCCTCAAATTCACTATGCAACTGAGGATGACTTTGAATTCCTTGATCTTCCTGCTTCTGACTCCTGAATGCTGATTTAATTCTTTTTTTTTTTTTATTTTAATTTAAAACCTTTTATGTATATGGGTGTTTTGCCTGCATGTATGTTTGTGCACCACTTTTGTACCTGGTGCCTGTGGAAGTCAGAAGGCATTGAATCCCTCAGAACTGATTGCAGATGGTTGCAAAATGCCATGTGGATGCTGGGAATTGAACCTGGGCCCTCTTGAACAGCCAATGCTTTTAACCACTGAGCCATCTCTATCTTTAGCAAAATTTATTGCTGTACATCATGTACTTTTAGGTAGTTTGGAGGTAGGTACCTCTGGAATGGTCACTGCAATGGGCCTTTATCCTTTGAATACATGTCAGGTGTCTCTGAGAGATGGCCAGATTCAGTTTAATGCTCGTCTAATATAGACTACCCTCCTTGTTTCCATCTAACATTTTAGTTGAGGTATTTTCTGGGAACAAAAAGCCATTGAATTGTTGCTTTTCCTTCCTAATAGTGGGTTCTTTTTTGTTGTTGTTGTTTCAAGACAGGGTTTGTTTGTATAGCTCTATTGCTGCTCCCCTCTGGGATGGTAGAGGATGAATCTAGTTATAATGGACCGGCTTGCTGTGAGCTCATGTTTCAAGCATCAGGAGGGATGGGGGAGAAATTAGCCTGCTGATTCTTATGGGCCTGGGACCAGTTCTCACTGTCTGTCCTTTGACAGGCTTCAGAGGACCTTCTCAAAGAGCACTACATTGACCTGAAGGACCGTCCCTTCTTTACTGGCCTAGTGAAATACATGCATTCAGGACCAGTGGTTGCTATGGTGAGTATTTCTGTGTGGGATGTTGATGGGAATGACTCATTTGGGTGTAGAACAGAGTGAGTGTTGCATTTCCTGTGTTGGGTGCCAGGCCCTCTTTGTTGCAGAGGAAACAGGCTAGTGGGATAGTCAGTTAGGATGAGAATTGGCTCTCTGATCCTCCAAAGAAAGTGAACATTTGCTTGCCAAGCTGAAGACCCAGGACTGGGAGAAATTAGGAGAGATATGCTTGATTGAATTCCCATGGAACAGAGGGAGCTTGGTTTATTACAGTACTGTACTGTATACTTATGCAAGAATGAGCCTGCTATATTTATGGCAAGTGCCTTTCTAAACATTTTAGATACTGTTGTGAGATAAAACAGGTATCTGTTTTCATTCTTTCTTTCTGAAAATGATTATTGAGACAGGGTCTTAGTATGTATACCAGCCTGTATCTTATAATTCATTGTGTAGTTCAGGCTAGCCTCAAATAGTTCAGGCTGGCTTGGAGCTTTTGATTCTCCTACTTACAGGGTATTTGGATTATAGGCCTGCGTCACCATACCAGACACAACTTTGCTTTTTAAAGTACAAGAAGAAGGGTAGGATGGGTGGTGGTAAGAAGCAAGATAGGATGAGAAGTGTTCAGGGACTACATAATGATAATGTCAGGGCTGTGCTGTTAAATCACCAGTGCTGAGAAATTATGGCAAGTACCATATTTAGCATTTTATTTATTTTGACTTTTTGAGACAGGGTCTGCCTGTTCTTTAGCTGTGAAGAGACACCATGACCCCTGCAACTCTTATAAAAGAAAGCAGTTAATTAGGGGCTTGCTCATAGTTTCAGTGGTTTAGTCTATCATCATCACGACAGGGAGCATGGCTGTGCACAGGCAAACATGGTGCTGGAGAAGTAGCTGAGAGTTCCACATCTGGATCTGAAGGCATTAGAAAGAGGGAACCATTGGGTTTGGCTTGGACCTTTGAAACCTCAGAGGTTAAGAGCACTGCCTGATATTTTAGAGGTCCTGAGCACAGTTCCCAGCAACCACATGGTAGTTCACAGCCATCTGTAATGAGATCCGGTGCCCTCTTCTGGCATGCAGGCAGAGCACTGTATATGTAATAAATAACTCTAAAAATAAATAAATAAATAAATAAATAAATAAATAAGGAGAGAAAAAGCAAAACAAAGAAGAAACAATTTCAGAGGTGAAAATAATTTAAAAAAAAAAAAAGGAAAAAGAAACCTCAAGACACACTTCCTCCAACAAGGCCACACCTCCTAATCCTTTTTAAGTAGTGCTACCCCCTGATGACTAAGCATTTAAATATATAAGCCCATGGGAGCCATTATTAAAACTACCACATTCCATTTCCTGGCCCCCTTAGGTTTATAGCCATATCACAATGCAAAAATGCATTGAGTCCAACTTCAGATGTCTCCATAGTCTATCATAGTATCAGCACTATTTAAAAGTTCAGTTTCTCTTGAGACTCATGACATTCTCTAATTGTAACCCCCTGTATAATCAAAATAAAAAAGCAAATAACCAACTTCCAACATACAATGACACAAAATATATATTACCATTCCAAAAGGGAGCACAGTGAAGAGATAGTCTGGACCAAACCAAGACCTAAAACTGGCAGGGCAAACTCCAAACTCTGTATGTCCATGTCTCATGTCAAAGAACTCTTCAGATCTCCCACTCCTTTCAGTTTTATTGACTGCCATATACTTTTAGCTCCTGAGCTGGTTCCACACCCCTTATGCAGCTTTTCTTGGCAGGTATCCCATGACTCTGGCATCTCCAACATCTTGGGGTCTCCAAAATAGGGTCTTTCCTGGGACTCTCTTATGTGGACCAGGCTGGCTTTACAGAGATCCACCTGCCTCTACCTCTGGAGTGGTGGGATTACCTCAATGGCAATATTTAGCATTTCAAAAGGCCACTGGCTATCACATGAATGAATCTGGGAAGGATAAGAGTAGGGGCAGGGTGACCAGAATCCCTAGTCCTGGAACAAGTAGGCATTCTGTTTAATCTAGTGAATGAGAGGACCCAATTCTGGAGCCTTTTTCTTTTGTTTAGAATCACTAGATGCCAGGTTTTCTACTAAGTTTTTCTTCCTTGACTGTGTCTTCTCTTGTCCTTTGGAGGTCTGGGAGGGGTTGAATGTTGTGAAGACAGGCCGGGTGATGCTTGGAGAGACCAACCCTGCAGACTCTAAACCTGGGACCATTCGAGGAGACTTTTGCATCCAAGTTGGCAGGTAAGAATTGGTGTTTTTCACTTTTTTCCAAAATCCAAGTTAGTTGCTACAAGAATTTGGGCCTCTGAGGCTAGAAATGGACATGATAGCATCTGCAGGTCAATTTATTTTTATTTTAAAGATTATTTATTTATTTATTTATTTAGGTTTTTTCGAGACAGGGTTTCTCTTTGTAGCTTTGGAGCCTATCATGGCACTCACTCTGGAGACCAGGCTGGCCTCGATCTCACAGAGATCCACCTGCCTCTGCCTCCCAAGTGCTGGGATTAAAGGCGTGCGCCACCAATGCCCAGCAAGATTATTTATTTATTATGTATATAGTGTTTTGCCTACATGTATGCCTGCAGGCCAGAAGAGGGCACCCAGCCTCATAGTGGTTGTAAGCCACTATGTGATTGCTGGGAGTTGAACTCAGGACCCCTGGAAGATCAGTCAGTGCTTTTAATCACCGAGTCATCTTTCTAGCCCCCTATTTATTTTATTTTAGCTTTTAAAGATTTATTTATTTATTATGTACGCAGTGTTCTGCCCGCATGTATGTCTGCACACCAGAAAAGGGCACCAGATCTCATTACAGTTGGTTGTGAGCCACCATGTGGTTGCTGGGAACTGAACTCAGGACCTCTGGAAGAGCAGCCAGTGCTCTTAAACCTCTGAGCCATCTCTCCAGCCCTATTTTAGCCTTAAAGCTTATTTTATTTTTTACTTGTTCTTCATGTATATGGACAGTTTTTTTTGTCTGTATATTTCTTGGTGCCCAAGGAGGCTAGAACAAGGCATTGGATCCCCCAGAAATGGAGTTACAGATAGTTGTGAGCCTCATGTGGATGGTGGGAACTAAACCCAGATTCTCTGGAGGACTAGCCAGTGCTCTTAAAGGCATCTCCTCTGCCCCTATTTTAGTTGTTTTGTTTGTTTGGTTGCCTTTGATAGTTTGAGATAGGATTTCTCTGTGTAGCCTTGGCTGTCCTGGAACTAGCTGTTGGCCTTGAACTCACAGAGTTCTGTCTGCTTCTGCCTCCCAAGTGCTGGGATTAAATAAAAGCATGTGCTGCCGCCACTACCACCAGGCAAGTTTAGCTGCTTTTGAGACAATGTCTTAAGTATGCTAGCTGGCCTCAAAATTGCTATCCTTGAATTCCTGATAGTCTTTTCTTTCTCCCTCCTTCCTTCCTTCCTTCTTTCCTTCCTTCCTTTCTCCCTTCCTTCCTTCCTTCCTTCCTTCCATCCTTCCTTCCTTCCTTTTCTTCCTCTTTCCCTCCCTCCCCCTCTCTCTCTCTTTCTTTCTTTCTTTCTTTCTTTCTTTCTTTCTTTCTCTTTCCTTTCTTTTTCTTTTTTCTTTCTCTTTCCCTCCCTCCTTTCCTCCCTCCCTCCCTCCCTTTCTTCCTTTCTCTTTCCTTTTTCTTTTTTCTTTCTGTCTCTTCCTCTCCTCCCCTCCTCCCCTTCCTTCCTTCCTTCCTTCCTTTCTTTCTTTCTTTCTTTCTTTCTTTCTTTCTTTCTTTCTTTCTTTTTTTTTTTTGAGACAGGGTTTCTCTGTGTAGCCCTGGCTGTCTTGGAACTTGATCTATAGACCAGGCTGGCCTTGAACTCAGAGATTCTCCTGCCTCTGCTTCCTGAGTGCTGGGATTAAATGTGTGAGCCATCACTTCTTGGCTCAGGTCACTTTTAAATGGGAGTTTTGTCTTCTGCCTCTGAAGGTGGAGGCTGACTTGGAGGGTCCCCTGTGTTTGCTTGTCTTCATCCCATTGCCTATACCTTTCTTGAATGTAGAGCCTGGCTAGAGCCTTTCTGAAGGCTCACACTCTTGTGTCAGGGTTTCTGGGAGGGCCACTCACAGGAAGTCATTCTATGATTTTTCTTTTAACGTGTTCTGAAGTATTAGGGACTCTGGCTTTTCTGCTGCCATGGCTTTTGGGTCTCAGCAGTGGGAATGCAGGATACTGTGGGCAATTTCATCTTTCTGGTTTTGGTAATGATGCAGTATCTCTCCCCACCCAGGAACATCATTCATGGCAGCGATTCTGTGGAGAGTGCAGAGAAGGAGATCGGCTTGTGGTTTCAGCCTGAGGAGCTGGTGGATTACAAGAGCTGTGCACAAAACTGGATCTATGAGTGACAGGAGGGCACCTGCTTTTCCCCTCTACTTACCCCTATTCTTACAGGCAAGGGACCAGCAACTCTAGATATTCCTGGAACTTCCTTTGACCTGGAAGGAACCTCTGGGAGCTGTGATTTCCTCTGCAGTGTTAAGTGCCACTGGTTGATTAAAGTGTTTCATCTCCAGTATTGGGTCAGCTAGTTACTTTGTATTGCTGTGTGGGTTTGCATGCTTTACTTCCTCCTCAGGCTTCTGGATAACCTGAACGGACAGGACGTAAATGGTATGCAAATTACTTACATTGGCCTCACATACACATAGAGACTCTTGGTTGTCCTTGAGGTTTGAGCCACCATCCTGGGATGCATAGGTATCTTTGCCTATCTTTCTTTTTATCCCCTGCACCCCTGTTCATTCTTGGCAGTGAGCCAGTGAGGAATTTCTGTAGAGGGTATGTGAGGTCCATAAAATTGTGCTGGGAACAGAGGATTCATCAGAAATAAAGATGCCAACTCACGCATGTTAGCTCAGGCTTGTAATCCCAACACTCAGGAGACAGAGGTAGGAGGATTATGAGCTCGAGGTCAACCTGGTCTACAGAGTGAGTTCCAGGACAGCCAGGGCTACACAGAGAAACCCTGTCTTGAAAAACCAAAAAGAAAGGGGTGGGGCTGGAGAGGTGGCTCAACGGTTAAGAGCATTGGCTGCTCTTCCAGAGGAAGAGTTTAATTCCCAGCACCCATGTATAAGCTCACAACTGTATGTAACTCCAGTTCCAGTGATCTGACACCCTCATACAGACAAATATGCAGACAAAACAACAAAGCACATATAAATAAATAAAGTGTTTAAAAAAAGAAAGAGGGAATTGTGAGAAGTTGTAGCTACCCTCAAATAAGAAAACCATGTCTTTTGTAAGCCTGGGATCATCAGTTGGTGTCATATGAAGTGGTAGTGACTACTATCATAGGGTAGGGAGGTATGTGACCTCATTAAGGGGTAATGGTAGATAGATACTGTAGTTGGTTTTTTCACTTTTGGCTCTTTGGTGGCCCACCCCACAGCTCCCAAATAAACCACACAGAGTCTTATTCTTTCTTAAAATTACCAGCCTTAGCTCAGCTTGTTTCTTGCAGCTTTTCATAAATTATCCCATCTATCTTTTGCCTCTGGGCTTTTACCTTTTCTATTTCTATATACCTTGTTTTACTTGTTACTCTGTGTCTTGCTGTATAGCTGGGTGACAGGCTCCTCGAGTCCTCCTCCCTCTCTTGCTTCCAGATCTACTCCTCCCTCCTTGAAGATTTTTCCTACTATTTATTCTTTCTGCCTAGCAGCTGCCACCCACCCACCCCTATTTCCCACCCCCATCCTTTCTTCTGCCTATTGGCAGTTCAGCTCTTTATTAGACCAATCAGGTGTTTTAGCCAGGCAAAGTAACACAGCTTCACATGTTAGACCCCAGGAAAACTCAGGCCTCCGGGGTCCCAGCCCAGGACTGCAGTCACCCCAGTCACCAGGCAGATTTGAAAACTTGCTGCAAACTGCATGAGGCTTTATTGGTGTTTAATGAGCTAACCCCATGTTAGCTCGGGTCTTTCACCCACCCGCCATGGCGGATGGCTAGCAAAGACAGCTTGAACCATCTGCATAGAGACCTTATAGGGCAGCGTAAGGGGAGTGTCTAGGGGTACACACAGGCTCAGGATTGGTGTGCCTCTGGGCTTGGAGGGCTTGCCCTGTGTTGATTGGCCAATTGGTTGTTATGGCCCATAGGCCCTCCCAGGGTGGTTGCTATGCTCTTTGCATCATTGCTGTGCACTTATTCGTAAAGCACACCCTGAGCCGTAAAGCATAGCACCACCAGCTAACTTCTGATTGGTTCCTTGCCATGAGGCAGGCATCTGACTTCTAGTGACTAGGACAAGGTCATGGCAAGCACGTGTTACTGTCATGGCTGCCGAAATGGGGAGTTGGTCCCTGAACACAGTTAAACAAATGCAACATAAAAGAATGCAACACATCTTTGCATCATTAAACAAATGTCCCACAGCATAAATTAATGTGACACATCAAGAAATAATATTCCACAACAGAAACATCCAGTGAATTTCCAGACTCTCAGGACAGTTGACATTTGGCAACTCCAAAACAGACTGTGGTGGTACATGCCTATAATCCTAGCATTTAGGAAGAAGACGCAGGAGGATTGCAGCAAGCTTGAGGCCAGGTTGGTGTAGTCTAGCCATGACTATGCAGTGAGGTTATCTTAAAAAACTAACCAGCAGACCAACTAGGCAAATAGTGAAGGAAATGGCCCCAGAATGGGGGCTGGTGCCAGTTATTGCTAGTGTTCCTAGGCTGATGCTTTGTTAACTGAGGTTTGGGATAGGATGGTGATGAGGCTATTCATTATCTATCTGATTACTTACAGGTGATCAGTTGGCTGGAGCCACGATGATGATAGCCTCAGTTTTGAGGTTAGCAGACTCCTGAGAGGGACTCCCATCTGAGATAGTGAGTGCTGTTGTGTTGGTGTCATAGAGAACATGAGAGAAGGGCTAGCTTGTTCCTTCAGAGAAGCAGATAACCATTAAAGCTGGGTATGTCCTCAGTTCATTCCAAAACATAGTCAAAATGGAAGCACTTGTTGGAAAAAAAAAAAAAAAAAAAAAAAAAAAGAAAGAAAATGTAGGCCAGGGTGCCCAGTACAAAGCCTGTATGAAGGGAATTTAGAGTATATTCACTCAACTTAATGGTCAGTGAGCAAAGAGATGTTCAATGTGAGCAGCTCCTTAGCCAGAGGTGATGGAATGGAGTTGGGGGAGGGTTTTAGACATGTTGACTCATCTGGGCTGGTCTCAGTGTTTTGGGCAACACCCTAAACCTCTTACCGGGGATGTTCAAGGCCCCAGCTCAAGCTCTAATCCCACTGGGAGAAGAGGCAGCTGGTTCTATCTATGATTTCCCTTTGGACACAGAAATGAAGCAGTGGACATGGGTGGGAACCTTTAGGGTGCTGGTGGTTTGCAAAGCAGACAGGAGATGAGGAATGTCTTCAAACTGACTGGCCTGGCTTCTCAGAACATAAAATCTGTTTGGAATACTGGAGGTTGGCCCTAAGGCCTTGTGCATGTTACACTAGTGGGCTTACCACAGAGCTCAATTTTCAGTCCTCCCCAACCTCATGTAGTCTAGCTGGTCTCTAATTCCAGGGTTGACAAGGATGCACCACCATACCTAGTTTATGTGGTGTTAAGGGTCAAACCCAGGGCCTTGTGTATGCCACGAAAGTCCTAAAAGAACTTCATCTCCAGCCTCTCATTATGTATATATTTCTCAAAGATTTACTTACTATTTATTTTGGTTTTTCAAGGCAAGGTTTCTCTGTGCAACCCTGACTGTTCTGGAACTTTCTGTAGACCAGGCTGGCCTCACACAGACCTGCTTGCCTCTGCTTCCCAAGTGCTAGAATTAAAGGTGTGTGCAACCACTGCCTAGCTTAAAGAGTTATTTTCATTTTTTATTATTTTGGTTTGTCGAGGTAGGGTTTCAATGTGTAAGAGCCCTTGCCAACCCATGAAAGCATCTGCTACCATGCCCTTCTTTTATTGTTTTTTTTTTTTTTTTAATTACATATAGGTGTGTGTATGTGTGCTGCATGAGGGCCTTTGGCCTCGGAGATGAGAGACATCAGATCCCCTGGAACTAGAGTTACAGTTGTGAGTTACCTGAAGTGTGTGGGTGCTGTGTACTGAACTTTTTTTTTTTTTTTTTTTTTTTTTTTTTTTTTTTTTTTTTTGGAACAGCAGCAAGAGCTCTTAACTGCTAAATCATCTCTCTAACACCTCATTTTGTGTATTTTGAGATATAGACTATGTTGACTTTGAACTGTGTAGCAGTGGCTGTCCTTGAGTTCCTGCTCCCCTACCTAGAGTTACAGGCATCTGTCATCTATCACGCCTGGCTTTGCTTCTTTTGAGATGGGAATACTGTGTGCTAAATCGTCCAGGCAGGTCTTGAATTCTCTCTGAAGTACAGGCAGGCAGTCAACTTTTGGAAACTCCAGGGTTGCCAGGAGTGGCTCAGGAAGAAGTGGGTTGTGCTGGGTGGGTGGTGAACCCAGTCTCTAGGTGGGAACAGGGTGTCTGATGGAAGCTGAAAAGGTAGGTGGGAGACAAACAGCAGGGGGCAGATCCTGGGCAGATCAAAAGGCATGGGCTATCTTAGGAACTGCGAAGTCATTCTGAGACACAGACATGAACAGATGGCCTTCTGAGGAGGGGGCTGAGGACAGACTTGGCTCCTAGGGAAGCTGTCATTTTGGATGAGGAAGGCTAAGAACTCAAGCAGAGGGGAAGGAATAGAGGGTTGGTTTTCAGAGGTGGGAAGGACTTGGGGGTACCCTAGGGCGGGGAGAGGCCTGCTGGGTGCTGGTGCCCCTGGGAAGGGTGAATGCAGATGTCTCTAGGAATAAAGAATTAAGGACCAAGCTGGGCGGTGGTGGTAGAGGCAGAGACAGGCGGAACTCCGAGTTCGAGGCCAGCCAGTTCTAAAGAGCGAGTTCCAGGACAGGGTCCAAAGCTACACAGAGAAGCCCTGTCTCGAAAAACACAAAAAAACAAACAAACGAAAAAAGAATTCAGGACCAGTAAGTAGCAGGTCCCTGGTAAACGCAGGAGTACTTAGGTGTGGGACAAATCACTTCCTGCCTCTCAGCCCTCAGTAGCCTAAGCAAGGCAAAGGCGTGCACCGCGGGCCGCTGGGCGGGGACAGAGACTACTGGCAGATTAAACCGGCTGAGCGTCCCGGGTTGGGCAGCGGGTCCTCCGGGGTGTGGCGTCCCTCGTCCCGCCCTCAGCCCCTCCTCCTTTGCCCTGCGCCGGCCGGTGGTCGCTCTGGTCTGTGCTCTCACCGTTTATCGCAGATACCGGCGGACCAGCCGACTTTCGGTAAGGCTGGGATGCACTCTCCACCCAACATCACCCCACCTCAGGCTACCACGGTCCCCTTCCTGGGCATCTTGGGTGGGGAAGAAGTACCCGGAAAGCCACGTGTCCTCCGCAGCGGCGGCGGTGGCGGAGGCGGGAGCCCACGTGGCCTCTTGGGCCGGCTTGGTTTGGCCAGGCCTCTTCAACTGCACTTCTTGCCCCAGCAGGACCATGGCCAACCTCGAGCGTACCTTCAT